GGCGCTGGCCTGGGGAGACAGCGACAGGCCTCCTCTGGCTTCCCTGGGGCTGCAGCTCTCTGGCATGGGGCCGGCGACGGGGCTTGCTGCCACCGCCATTTGTGCCAGCTCCTGGGCTCCCGGAGTGGCGCTCCAGCGCGCTCCGACCCCAAAAGACCCCTGATCTTGATGAACATAATCTTAAAGACCTTCTATGGAAGAATAAGACGTTCTGTTGGAAACATAACTCCAGAAATTCTTTCTGGGACAAATGCTAAAATTATGAAATTGGTGGAACAAAGCTTTCTCAGAGGGCTCCAGGTCCTAGCGGTTTCTTCTCCCCTTTTAGCTTGTGCATTACAGCCAGTGTTCTGAGATCTTGGGGGTGGGTAGAGCTGCTGGAAGCCCCTCACAGCACCCCCCCCCCCCATGAATGTTCCCTCTGTCTGCAAACCATGGCTCCACAAACCCTCAGGGTGACCCGGTCTCCTGGCATATTTCATCCCTCCCTTTTTGATCTTTTATATTTGTTTATTTATTTGGTTCAATTTCTTTTCCTCCATTCCCGCAAGCGGGCTCAGGGCGGGTTAGAACATTAATATAAAACAATAAAATCAAGATTAAAACTATGAACTTGACCCTTAGACGATGGCGATTAAACGACATCACAACTATTCCAGTGATGCCGAGGTGTTAGATCATTAAAGGCAGAAAGGGCTAGGAACGATGGCGATTAAACGACATCACAACTGTTACAATGATGCCCAGGTGTTAGACCATTAAAGGCAGAAAGAATCCCTTAAAGGACTCTGGATTATAAGTACCTTACCTTTGGTAAGCCAAGGCAGTTATCATCCTGTGTCCTCGAAAATTGAAGACCATGGTACAGAGGGTAACAAGATGGTAACAGGAGGGGCCAGATGATATTTGATGATATGTAACAATTAATGGCCTTGAGATGTCCAGAATATCAGCTGAGACATAAATATGTCAACATGTATTGGTGGTGGAAAGTACCATCATATCGCAGCTGACTTCTGGCGACCCTCTAGAGTTTTCAAGGCCAGAGACGTTCAGAGGTGGTTTGCCATCATGGCCTCTCTTCACATAGCAACAACCCTGGACTTCCTTGGCGGTCTCCCAACCAAGTACTAACCAGGGCCGGCCCTGCTTAGCTTTCCGCAGTCTGATGAGATCAGGCTAGGCTGGGCCATCCAGGACAACGTGCCTTGCTAACTTCGATATCTCTTTCTCTCTACAGAACCATGCGGTCAGCAGAGAGAGCCTGGTGGTTTAAACTCCTCGCGGTTCCGTGACCCCGGGAATCCACAGTGGGCCGCGCGCCGTTTCTAGTGATGGTCTCCATTGGCATCCGTTTCATGCCGGAGGACTCCGAGACAGGAGCAGATAGTACTCCTCTGTTTCCAGCTTCTGACGGGATGGGTGGACCACCCCAACGCTCAAGGGACTGACCTCTCTGTGCCTTATTTTAGCTTCCCCCCGCTCTCGTGCTGATATTCTCAAGGAGTCTGGAGGTGTAGCTTGCACTGCACGAGAATTTTTAAATCCCCCTTTTAAATTTCAGACCTAGATTTTATTATTATTTCTAATATCAGGTTTGGCAAAAGGGCGCTTGTACTTGCAGGTAATACCCCCGGTGCAGTCAGACCACGAAACATGAGATGGAAATCGTTTCTATCCCTCTCTCTCTCGTCTTTTCTAAGGTTGTTCCAAGGAAGACCTGTTCAGCTGTGGTACCTCCCACAGCCCAAGTTGTAAAACGGCTTCCGCATGTTTTATACTGAAGACGTGTGGGGTTTTTTTTGTTGAGTGTTTTTAAAAAAACAACTCCTTGTCCTTTCACCCTTAGAATTCGCTGCTGGTACTGTAAATACCCCAAAGTGATTAGCAGCCAAGTAGTTTGGTTCCCCCCTCCCCAATTTATGTGTATTTTTGAGATTACAATTTTGTATAAATAAAATGAGTAGATTGTGTTCTTAACTAGATTTTGTAACGTTTGAAGTGGGTCAGTAGACCTGGGCGTTGGTGCAAGTCTTATCAACAGCTGCTGGGCACAATAGGTGTATGACACCCTCCATATTCAGAGGTAGAAGACCCACTGAATAATACTTGGTGGAAGAGGGAAAAACTGGGATTTATTACCTTTTAATTTATTTATTTTTTAGTTTAGTCTATATCCTGCCTTTCACTCCAGCGGGGGACCCAAAGTGGCTTTATGACATTCTCTCCTCCGTTTTATCCTCACGCCAACCCTGTGGGGTAAGTTAGGCTGAGAGTGTGTGACTGGCCTGAGGTCACCCAACAAACTTCCATGGCACAAAGTGGGGATTCAAACCTGGAATTCCTGGATGCCAGTCCAACTACACCATCCTGGCTAAGCCCGACGTAGGGTTCTCAGTGCACCTCAGGTTGCCCATCATAGAAAATAGGATGTTGGACTAGATCCTTCAGGGTTTGTGTTTGGAAACATCCTCTCCTCAGGGTTCTCTTCTGGGCACCCATGTTTCTTTTCTTTCCCGTCTTCCTAAGACTTGTGCCACCCGGTTCTTCCCTATCTTCCCACTTTCTCATTTCCCCCGTTTCTGATAGAATCTCCTGCCAATTGCTAGTCCTCTTGGGTACCTTCGTCTGGCTCTCGGCCTACAATGATGGCTCCACCTCTACCTGCCGGGCAGGTGCCGACTAGCTAAGGACAGAAGATTCTCTAGGTAAGAAGTAACTCTAAAGAAAGCTACAGGACAACTGTGGTAAAGGAAGGTTTTTATGTGCTTTTTCTGTAAGCAGAATTGTGGGAGGGGTATAGCGTTCGAGAGGGAAGCAGAGCTCTGGACTAATTTGCATCAGTCTGAATTCTTATGCACCCTCACCTAGATAGCCCAGACAAGCCCGATCTCATTGGATCTTGGAAGCTGAGTAGGGCCAGCCCTGGCAAGTATTTGGATGGATGTCCTCCATGTCTGAGTAGGAGTCGCCAGAGATCATCATGACTTCCAGGCATGGGTGTGCGCGCGGGCACACACACACACATGCAAAAATACCCCCCCCCCCAAATCTGAATTCTTATGCAAATAGACCTCCACCTTTTAAAGGTCTGAAGATACAGAAGACGCAAAGATGCACTGTATACTACCAGTTGTTCCACTGATATGGTGGCTGCTACAGAAGCTGTAATGTGTGAGAACTTGTGCTGTTGAGAAAATTGCCGATTGCCATGTGTGAGGATGCTTTTATCCTTAGTCAGAAGGGTTGGTCTATTATGGTCGGTATTGTCTGCTCTCACTGGCAGCAGAGTTCTGGCTGGAGGTCTTTCGCATCACCTGTTACCTGTCCCTTTTCACTGGAGGATTGAACCTTGAGGATTTCTGCATGCACAGCTGTTGCTCTGTGGCTGAACCACAACCGTCACCGCCACCCCTTGTCCCCCAAAGCTTTGTTACTCTGGGATTTAACAACTCCAATACAGAGAAGCGTATTCGGCATCTCCTACATGCTGAGTCATTCTCCATCAACAAACTGCCTGTGCTAAAACAAGACTTTCCAGACTCCGTGCTAAGTGATTGAGGACGTATTTGTGCTCTGACTGCAGATGTGCTTGAAATTGATTTGGCACGGGATCCTCCAAAGAATTCTGGGGATTGTGAGGGTGTGAAAGCTCAGAGGTTTCCGTAGCAGCTCTTCTGGGAAGGGTAGCCATGTTGAAGGCCTGGTGGTGTTCTCCAACTGCCCAGCAGATGGCAGTCATCCCTTACATCAACCTCTGGGCTTGCCGGGCGTAGCTCACTGGGATGAAGGTGTGTGCCACGCTTGAAGCATGCAGTGGTAGAGGCTGGCCACAAGAGGGGGCCATCTGGGGCTTGTGAATTCACATGTCCTATTGCGTGACCCAGCACTGTGAAGGGAGACGACCGCGCCCTCCCTGCTTGGAGGCAATAGAGGACACGCAGTCCACAGAGGCCCCTCTCAAGTTGGGGACCATGGATGTTTCTAAATGGAAAGCAGGAGTCCGAAATGCTTGTATGTGCATCGTTAGTACACTAAACATTTTAACGAGACCTTCCCCAAAGGTGAAACTGGGAATAGTGTTTTACTTGGTGGTAGGAAATAAGAACCATCTCTCTTTGAATAGGGTCAGTTACAGTATCCATCCTGACAACATGCCTGCGGAGCTTATTTAGTCAGGTTGCCAACGCTGTGTTGGGAAAACTGGAGAGGGCAGCGTTTGGGAAGGGGAACTGATCTCTGTAATCTGGAGATCGGATGTGAAAGCGGAGGATCTCCAACCACCACCGGGAGTTTGGCAGCCCTAATATCTAGCAAACTCCTGTTTTGTTAATGGATTTCATTCCCCTTTAATATGGCCTAGAAGAAACATGTAGCCAACCTGTTTGTCCTACGCCAAAAAGCAGATATGATGTCAAATGATTGGCACAGTCATAAGACAATAAAGAAATCAGAAAAAAAAACTGTGAAAAGGTGGCGCTTAATAAATTTCTTTAAAGAATCAAAAAATATGAAAAGTGAACAATAGTAATATACACAATAATAGAAAATATGACCGTGATCTCCGGAATGTCTTGCCGTTTCGAAGGTAGATCTTCTTCCGAT